AACAGTTTGCTGATCTCCTCAGGAAAATAAAGTGTTACAGAATCACAGACTGGTAGGGGTTAGAAGGGACCTCTAGAGATCATCTAGTCCAACCCCGCTGCTAAAGCAGGGTCACCCAGAGCACGTTGCACAGGATCACATCCAGGCAGGTACTGAATATCTCCAGAGAAGGAGACTCCACAACCTCTCTGGGCAGCCTGTTCCAGAGCTTGGTTACCCTCACAGTGAAGAAGTTTTTCCCTCATATTCAGATGGAACTTACGGTGTTCCACTTTGTGCCCATTGCCCCTTGTCCTGTTGCTGGGCACCACTGAAAAGAGTCTGGCCCCTTCCTCTAGACACCCACCCTTTAGATATTTCTAAGTATTGATCAGATCCCCTCTCAGTCTTCTCTAGACTGAACAGACCCAGCTCTCTCAACCTTTCCTCATGAGAGATGCTCAAGTCCCTTAATCATCTTTGTAGCCCTCCACTGGACTCTCTCCAGTAGTTCTCCGCCTTTCTCAAACTGCGGAGCCCAGAACTGGACACAATATTCAGATGTGTCCTCCCCAGGGCAGAGTAGAGGGGGAGGATAACCTCCCTTGACCTGTTGGCCATGCTCTTCTTAATGCGCCCCAGGATACCATTGGCCGCCTTGGCCACAAGGGCACATTGCTGGCTCATGAAGAGCTTGCTGTCCACCAGGACTCCCACGTCCTTCTCCGCAGCGCCGCTTCCCAGCAGGTCAACCCCTAACCTGTACTGGTGCTTGGGGTTATTCCTCCCTAGCTGCAGGACCCTACACTTGCCCTTGTTGAATTTCATTTGGTTCCTCTCCGCCCAACTTTCTAGTCTGTCCAGATCTCACTGCATGGCAGCACAGCCTTCTGGTGTGTTGGCCACTCCTCCCAGTTTTGTATCATCAGCAAATTTGCTGAGAGTACACTCTGTCCCCTCATCCAGGTCATTACCACCACATAAAACTGTCCTGACAATGAACAAGGTCAACATGTAATTTCTGAAGCTTCTAAATTCTCTTGGGCACTTGAATCTTTCTAGCTTTTGGACAAAACTAACCTCACATTGCATGAAAAGAGTGTCTTTGTTCCTGGTGTGGCAAACAAGGAATTTAATAGCCCTGGATAAAATAATTTGACCAAAAAATTCAAGCGGAATGGAAATACCTCCTCCTTTCACTTCTCATCAAGGGAACAGCTGCTTTGCTGTCATCAGAGGGAGGTAAGGAGGGGGCTAAACTTCCATAAAAGCAGTGCCACCACAGGCTGCACCCTGAGAAGTTAAAAGTGGTGGTGGAAGTAAAGATGTACTCCAATGGGAATCTGCAAAGCTGTCTCAGTAACAAAGCACTATCTTTGGAGGTGACCTATCTGCAGCTGCAAGGTGACAACAGCCACGGGACACTCCACGTAGCTGACTGAGGGACGTCAACTTTCTTAAACCACTACACAAATGTGTTTCTATGTCCCAAACCAGAATATACTAGTATAACAACAGTCCAGGAAAGAAGAAAAGATTTTTAAAAAAGGAGATGTAACGGCCAAAGACATGTCGGCATAAGTAAGAATTTGTGGAGACTTAACCTACTAAGAGGTCGTTTCTCGAACAACCCCAAATAATTTTCAGAAATACAGCATTTTCAGAAACATTTGATCTCTGTTAAATGGTCCTTACTGGAGAAACAATCTCTAATTCTGTATTAAAATGCTGAAGTTCATAGATACCACCTTGAAGTACTAATTGTCATTCATCATCTGTCCTACCCTGAATTAAAAGTTCTTTAGTGCCCCTACACCTTCTAAATCATAATATTATTTACTGTTTCAATGACTCTTTAAATAAACTCAGCATGATGGAGGTTGTTGGTCAATCTCAGGCATGACCAAAAATAAGTTACTTGTGTAAAAAAAGCATATTAAAATATATTGCCAAACTGGATGCCCTTCATAGACATTTCTGCAAAACTCATTCAGCAACCACAATGTATTCAGTCTTATTTATAGCTAGAAGGCTGGGTTATTTCAATAAATCTGTATCAATGTAGACACAAAAAAAGAACTTCCTCAGTAGATGAAAGCTCGTTTCAACAGTAGCAC